TGAGTGAGGGGCGGGGGGATTGGAGCTGCCAGGTGGATAAACGCGACGGATGTGCTCGTCGCTGCCGCACCCCCTCCCCCGCTCGTCGCCCCTCCCCCGCCCAGGGCCAGGGCTCCCGACTTTCCACCCAGTGTCCAAGTTCACAGTTGGCCCCTGGTAGACAAGAGTCGATCTGATCCCTGATCCGGGGAACCCCTGACAGGCCGCCCGGAGGTGCCCCACCCCCCCCCATCTTCACCCTCCACTCCAGCTGCCGAGAAAATATTGGGGTCCTTTTGTGGTGCAGAATATATGCCCCGAGGCTGGGCAGGCCTGTGGGGTCTTCGGGGATCCCCATTCTCCCCTGAACCTAGGCAGAGAGAAACTCCTGGGAATTCTGGGGCGCGCGCGCGCGGGGGGTGGGATGGGGGCTTAGCTGAGGCCTGGGTCCCTGAGACTGAAACTATTCCAGGCAGCTCCTCTCCCATCTCAACCCGGAAAGGTCCTGAAGCCTTCTGATCCTCTTCCCCAGCCTTTTCTGACCCCTGAAGTTCTGCCTTAGAGCTGACCTTGGCCTCTACTTTCTAGTACTTGTACCTTGGAAGGGTCTGTGGTCTTCCTGGGCTTTGAGGTGACAATGCCACTCTTGGCTTAACTCAGAGAGCATTCCCTGGTGCAGGGCCTTTTCCCTTAGGTGAGAGGAGTGTCTGTGTGGCTCTAAGAGACCAGGAACAGAGAGCCCTTCAGCCTGGGGTGGGCTGTGTGTTGGGGAGGCTACAGGAGAAGAAGCCATGTGCCATTCTGATGCTAGTGTTGACACTCCATATTCCCCAGAGAGGGAAACTGAGGCCCAGGTAGTTATGCATGGCTAATAAGCACTTGGCTGCCTGGGAAGCTGGGATCCTTTCAAGACCCCTCCCTGGGAGCAGGCTCTGGGTCAATACCCATCGGAGGACAGGCCACAGCCACACACTTCAAGATCTTGAATAAGGCCATGGCTGTGGGCCAGCTTCAGTTGAGTCTTTCCCTTAATATGAAGAAGGGTAGAAAGGTAAAATGCTTACCCTCATCCTCTATCCCACTTCGAAGCAGGAGCTATGGAGCCGTGAAGCCATACCCTGAGGGCAAGGTAAAATCCCGAGATGGGTCTGAAGGAGCCTGAGTGGACTTGGGGATTGGCCAGTGTGTACAGGTGGCTCCCTTCTAGAGAAGCCAGACCTTGGCAGGGACCAGTTTAGACTTAGTGTTTCTTGATGAACTGGGAGCAGCAGAGGTCCAGGAGATGGGACCAGGGCCCTGTGATGCCCCAGCTTTAAAAACACAGGGATGGGGCTAGAGGCAGTCCTGCCCAATACTTAGCTGTCATATACCATGCCGAGGCCAAGCACCTGTGTGTGTCCACACGTGGGAACGAATGCATCTCTGTATGTTTGCAGTGGTCTGACTTCACTGTGTGTGTGTGGTGTGTGCACCCTGTGTACATATGAGGTCACAACGCCGAGCTTGTCGCAGACCTGCATGCATGCGTGTCTTCCTGTGGAGAACACTGTGAATGCTTGTCTGCACACACGTCTGTGCATGCATGCTTTTGTGTATGTGTGTGTCTCTGGGCCCAAGTCTGTTAAGCCTAGGTCTGTGGAGGTATATACCAGGAAGAGGATCCCTGCCTTGCTCTAGGTGGGGGAAGGGAGGCCAGTTATAATGAGCCCCCACCTCCCCTCTGCTGAGCTGCAGCCATGGCCTGAATTTTGCAGCCTGCTTAAAAATAATTGGGGGCAGCGGGGGGGATTGGATGTCACTCATCATCAGCTGCTGGTTTTGCTGGTTGCCGCGGCAGCCTGGGCGGGCTGAATAGTTTGGGACAGACATGATTGCAGGGGGAAGGCCAGGGCTCCAACGCCTTTTCAGCTCTGCAGAGGAGGGTAGGGCAGAGACAGGAGCCTCTTCTGGCTTCTGCTGGTATTTGGAGGAGGGTGAGGCTGCTCCTCTTCAGTGGGTGAGCCTGGTGATGCCTCCATCCTTTCCAGGAGGGTTGAGGAAGGACAGGTGCATGTCTGGGACTGGGACTTGGGCTCAGAGGTACCCCAGGCCGGAAAGTTGCCCCATGTGGGAAAGTCGCATTGGAAGGTCTGTGCGTGCTGCAGCAGGGTTGGAGCATTGGGTTCTGATTCCTGTCCCCTGCTCTTGAAACTATTTAGAACAGTCCTGGAGAAAATTGTCCCCAGGGAGCAGCAGTATCTTAGAAAACCTAGCCACACCTATGAGCTGTCCTGTGGTTGTGATTTGACTTCCCAGAAGGAATCACTTGTTCAATTGTCCTGAATCCCAAGCAATAGGCAAAGGGAAGGCACAAGAAGCTCGGGTGGGGTTGGGATGGGGAGTTGAGGTCCTGAATTCCAGTCCTAACCAGTCCATCTTCGTGTGATCTTGAGCAGGTGGCCTTATGTTTTCTGTAACATGGAAGACCTGAATTAGACGGGTCCATGCTGGCCTTTGGGCTGTGTGGCCGCAGGGAGGAGGAGGGAGGCTGTGTGGTTGCATTAGAATTGCCTGGGAGTGAGGTTAATCTAGATTTGTACCAGTCTGCTTTTTTTGGGAATTGGGGTAGAAGCTGGGTGGGAATGTCAGTGGTTCTGCTCTGGTCTGATGGGTAGGAAGGTGGTTGCAACCTTCTAGCCTCAGTGCCCTGCAAAGTGGCTCTTGGGTCCCATATGCCAGGAGTGCATTCACACTTGCTAGGAGATCAGTTGATCATAGCACTTTGAGCGAAGGAAGCCAACAGACTAGGCTTCACTCTTTGGGCCTTGAGATGAGCCACAGGGAGAGCTTACTGAGGGTGGCAGGCCCTTTGCCGGGCCTTGGAAGCTGATCCTGTGGAAAAGATGTGAAGAGGGGGCTATGATTGGAAGTCCTGTGCCCATTTTGTAGATTAGGTAACTGAGGTTCATGAGACTCACCCAGCCAGCAAGTGGCTGGCTGAGCTGGGCTGATGCCTGGTGCCTCCTCTCCTCATTCCCATAGCAGCGGTACCCATGACATCCACACTGGTGGCACTAACGTCTCTTCCATGGGCATGGCAGGGTTAGGTACAGTTCCTGGCACCTGGCAGAAACTCCACTCTTCCTCTCTTGCTCAGGGAAGGGAGTGAGTGAGAACATTGTTCCGGGAATAACCTTGAATTGCACTGATTTATAAAACAGCAAATGGTTGTCAAACATCACCACTTTGACTGCTGGATTACACACGGCACTCCTCACAGCTGATCACGACACACTGGCTGAGAGCAGCAGCTCTGGAGGATAAAGGGTGGCAGAGCTGTCAGGCCCAGACACCTCTGGTTGGTGGGCTGTATAGGGGGTAGTGATAACCAAGGCTCTTAGGAACAAGATTCCAAGCCTCCTGGAACTCTTCCCTAAGTTACCTCATATTGCCCTTGTAGGATAGATGGGATAGGTAATTTTGTAGGATAGCATGAGATAAGCACAGCCATTTTACAGGCAAGAAAACCAGGGCACAGAGGAGTCATCTGCCTGGTCTAAGGTCACACAGACAGACCCACATGACTTAAAAGAACGAGGTTAGAACCACCAGCCCACTGCTTGCAACTGGACACTAGCACCTCAGAGCACTTGCTGACTGACCCGGGGCTCTGCTGACCTCTGTTTTCTTCCACAGGGCAAGGGACATAGGATGACCCCAGCCTGTCCCCTCTTACTGTCTGTGATTCTGTCCCTGCGCCTGGCCACGGCCTTCGACCCCGCCCCCAGTGCCTGCTCCGCCCTGGCCTCGGGTGTGCTCTACGGGGCCTTCTCGCTGCAGGACCTCTTTCCTACCATCGCCTCGGGCTGCTCCTGGACCCTGGAGAACCCTGACCCCACCAAGTACTCCCTCTATCTGCGTTTCAACCGACAGGAGCAGGTGTGCGCCCACTTTGCCCCACGCCTGCTGCCCCTGGACCACTACCTGGTCAACTTTACCTGCCTGCGGCCTGGTCCGGAGGAAGCGGCAGCCCAGGCGGAATCAGAGGTGGGGCGGCCAGAGGAGGAGGAGGAGGCAGCTTCGGGGTTGGAGCTGTGTGGTGGCTCAGGCCCCTTTACCTTTCTGCATTTCGACAAGAACTTTGTGCAGCTGTGCCTGTCGGCTGAGCCCTCAGAGGCCCCGCGGCTGCTAGCGCCTGCTGCCCTAGCCTTCCGCTTTGTGGAGGTTTTACTTATCAACAACAACAACTCCAGCCAGTTCACCTGTGGTGTGCTCTGCCGCTGGAGTGAAGAGTGTGGTCGGGCCGCAGGCAGGGCTTGTGGCTTTGCTCAGCCAGGGTGCAGCTGCCCTGGGGAGGCCGGGGCCAGCCCTGCCACCACCACACCTCCAGGGCCTCCAGCTGCCCACACCTTATCCAATGCCCTCGTGCCTGGGGGCCCGGCCCCGCCTGCTGAGGCTGACTTGCACTCGGGGAGCAGCAATGACCTGTTCACCACCGAGATGAGATATGGTGAGTGTGAGCAGGGTCTGAGTGGGGTGGGGGCATCGAGGGGACCGACAGTGTCTGCTGGTGTCCATCCTGGTCAGTCCCAGCCATTTGCAGAGTCATTCATGGATGTCACCTCTGTGCTCAGCCCTGTCCAGATGTAAAGGTCATCAGAATCAGATTTTACCTGAGTGGGATGCTGATGAGTGAGTGCAGAATGCTCTAGTATCTGGCCAGGGGAGCTCCCTGATGAGACGGGTGCAGGGGCACAGACCTGTAGAACAGTTGAGGAGGTGACAGGCCACAGGAGGGGTGAGGGCATCCCAGCAGAGTGCACTGAAACCCAAAGCTGGAGTGGCCATGGCAGACCCTGGCACTGTGAGTTGACAAATTTGCCTGGAAGCTGGAGTAGGCAGGGAGCAGAGATATGTTCCTGCCCACACGGGTCAGTGATTTTTGGCAGTGCCCCAGGGTCAGGGCAGAAGGAGGTGAGGAAGAGTGTGCTTGGGTGAAGAGGCCCCGGCTCTGAGATGCCTTGGAGGGCTGGGCTGGCTCGACTCCCAGTGTCCCATCTCCCCCACTGGGCCCATGTCTTCTGAGACCAAGGCCGCCAGCTGCTGGTGCTTCCTGCTGACTGGGCAGAAGCTCCTCGAGTCCCTTTGCCTGCCTGCGCTCACGCCCTCCCCAGCTTCACAGCCACGAGCACCTTCCACTGCCCTGCCTCCTGCAGCTTCTAGCCTTCCATGCCTGGTGACCAGTGCTGAGCCAAGGACTGACTTAGGGGTCAGTGGGGAACAGGCACCAAAGCTAGGTGGATGGGAGAGAGGTAGGTCTTTGCCTCTCTGGGCCCCAGTTTCCCCGAATGCTGGTGTACCCTGGAAAGGATGGGGGGTGCATCTAGGTCTCACTGAGTATTTATACAGGAGGAAGAAGCCTCATGTGAGGTCACTGGAGGGCTTGCCTTCCCGTATCCCTGCTTTGGAGAGTAGAGCCCAGGGGCTGGACACTGTCTTTGATTGTTAGCATCATTAACAAAGGCATTGGTTTCTTTGTAAAACTGGGAGGTGTCTCGGAATTAGTTAGAAGGGGATTATGACAGTGGCCTCTCCCAGTGCTTTACAGGGGGACCTTCTTGGCCTCCCCCATAAAACATGTGGCATCGTGCCCACATGGGCACAGTAAGCACCCAGTGGCCTTGCTGTGGCCTCTCTCCCAGGCTAGTTTGGCCTCTAACAGCGGTCGATGAAGCCATCCATGTGACAGCCAGGCCGTGGGCAGGTTACGGGCCCTGGAGGCTGGCCTGGGATTTAGTGCCTGCAGGAAGAAATTGAATTTTGCTTCTTTTGTCGAACATCAGCGGAGAGCGCCAGGCGTATATCAGTAGGTTTATGGCTCTTCCGGCATGGCCACCACTGCTGTCACTCTGTAGGGCCTCCCCCATTCTGCTCAGCTAAGGGCAGGTTCTTTTGTCTGGCTTTGCCTGTGGTCCATCAGCCCAGTGGTTTGGAGTGGACGGAGCAAGGCTTTGCCCTCCTGGATGGGCACTGGCTGGGCAGGCTGCCATGTGGAGCACAGAGCCAGGAGCAGCCAGCTGGGCTTGGTTGAAGCCGGAAGCAGGATTTGGTTGGTAGCTAGGGCATCTTCAGGAGTCAGAAAGGGTTGGTGACTGAAAGTGTACTATTATCAGAGCCCCTGCCAGGACCCTTGAGTTTGAGACTGATGGAGGTTGGATGGGTGGTTGTTTTTGAGGCTCTTGGAGCAGAGACTCCTGATCAGGAGGTCCTAGCTGTTTTCAGGCCCAGCCTGTGCTCTGCCCCTTGCCCCATTTGGCACCTGTTCAGGTGGTGGTTGCTCTGCAGGGAGGGCTCCTGTGGAGAGCTGGCATGGGGGATGTAGCATCAGCTGACATAAGTGAGCTGAACTTACCCAGAATACTGGTACCCAGAGCTGGCTGGCACAGCCCCTTCCTCTCCCCAAAGCAGGCAGAAGGCTCTTCCGCTCTGCCACCTCCTCCCTCCTGCCCAACCTTTCTGGTGTGAGAGACAGCGGGTACATGACTCAGTTCATTTCACGTGTCAGGGCGTGTCTAGTGGTCAGAGGCATTGTCAGGGCTCAGAACACACTGCTCTTCTCACCAAGGCCTTGGGCCTCCTCCACACCATCCTCTATGCCACACCCTAGAATTCAGGATAGGCTGGCACAAGGAGCTGCCAGACAGAGAGCAAGGTTTGTGGGATGGTGAGCAGAAAGAGACCCTCTGCCAGGAACTGGGGCAGGGAAGGAAGCTGGGCTCACCCTCTTTGGGACATCCTTGACAGGAGTCAGCAGAAGACAAAACAGGATGGACCTAGGGTGGCACCAGAGGATAAGGAGGTTAGGGGCATTGGGGTGCCTTGGCCCGCCTCAGAGCTGAGTGCGTTTGACAAGAGGGTACAGGCGCCTGTTAATTTCACGCAAACTGCCTTTGATAGATCTCTTGTTATTTTTGGTGAGTTGAGCCATAAATTTGTGCCATCTTGCTGCCGCAATCTGTTAAGTGTGGGGAGAGGAAGAAAGAAGGCAGGCAGGAAGGAGCTCTCAGAAGGCTGGCATAGAGGCTGGCTGAGGCCAGAGCTGGGAGGTGAGTCACAGAACTGGTGCCCACTGCAGGGCCCAGCTGCTGCTGCTGGGTCCTGCTTGCCCACGAATCCTCCGGGGCTAGGGGCCACTTGTACACAGGGATGGCTGTGTTGGGTGACACTTGGAAAAGCCCCCCCTCCCCCTTGCAACTTCCTCCCTCCTCTGCTGCACAACTCTCTTCCCTCAGGGCACTTTCCCTCCTGGGCCGGCTCCACCCTCCCCGTCATCTGTACTCCATATCTGAGGCCTAGCCATCAGGGGAGGCTGTGGACTCCTGGGAGGCAAGAGTGGTTTCAGATCCCTATCCTGCCTCTGCCACTATGTCCCTTGAACAAGTCACTGTCCCTCCTAGAAGGCCTCAGGAACCCCAGATCTTTCCCAACCTAGTGCCTGAGCTCCCAGCTCTACCCAAGCACCCCTTCCCTGGTGTTTGAACCCTCTGTTGGGCACAGCCGTCACTCTTTTCAGCCCTCCCTCCACCTCCTTCCTGCCCGCTCACTGACCCCCTCATTGTCCTTAGATCCCTGCTTTCTACCTCCCTACCTCTGCTTGAGTGTTCCCCTCCCCAGGTTACCGTCCACCCTTGGTGACCAGATCTCTCCCATCCTACTAGGTCTCAGACATGTGTATCACCACCCTGTAGCTGCTAGGGAGAACACCAGCCTGCCCCAACCAGTCCTGAGAGTGAGGAAGCTCCCTCCCTCAGGGCTCAAGTTCCGGTCTTCTGAGTTGGCAGGAAATGGGGTCTTACCTGCTTCCCTAAGGCTCCCATAGTAAGAAGGCAGGTCCTCCCTCTACACAGTGGGAAAGACCCAGCCCAGGGGTCCTGTCAGTACATCCCAGAATTTTCAGGCCTTTCAACACAGCCTGCCAATCCCTCATGCACATCACTGTGTCTTTTTAATTTTTTTCTTTTGGTTTTTCAAGACAGGGTTTCTCTGTGTAACAGCCCTGGCTGTCCTGGAACTCCACTCTGTAGACCAGGCTGGCCTTGAACTCACAGAGATCTGCCTGCTTCTGTCTCCCAAATGCTGGGATTAAAGAAATGTACCACCACCACCCACCCCTCATCACTGTCTTTATCCGTGGACTTCCTGCCAAATCTGGGGCTGGCTCTGAGTGAGATCAGAGGGGAGGGAGGTACTCTTTGTGTACTCTTGTGTTAAAGAGTGGCTGCTGGTATACAGTGATATTCAAGACCACAGACTGAAGTCGCCCTGTCCTGACATGGACAAGTGATCTGTGAAGTGAGGATAGGAGAGCTATGCCCTGCAGAGCTGTAAGAGCTCAGTGTGGCACCTGGCTCCATTAAGCTTCTTTTCCTGCTACTAAAGTTGCAATACCACAGACTAGGCATGTTCTAAAGAAAAGAGGTTTATTTTGGCTCATGATTCTGATCCATTGTCAAGGGCCTGTGTCTGGTGATGACCTTCTCGCTGGCAAGAATACTGTATACCTTAGGCAGTATACAGTATCACATGGCAAGAGAGGGACCATGTGTCTCCTCTCTCTTAATCCATTCTTTGTTAAAGCCAGGGCAGGCCTGAGCTTGCTGTGTAAACCAGGCTGGCCGCAAACTCACAGAGATTTGCCTGATAGCTGAGATTAAAGGTGTGCACCACTGTACCTGACATCTCTCAATCTGTATAAAGCCACCAGGACTAACCCCAGTGACCTCCCCAAACCTTCCTCATAATCCTATATTCAAGTCAAGTTTCTACTCTTTTTAAGACAGGTTCTCATGTAGTTCAGGCTGGCCTCAGACTTGCTATGTAGTTGAGCAGGACCTTGAACTGCAATCCTCCTGCCTCCGCCTCCTGAGTTTTGGGATTACCATGTCCAGTTTTATGCAGTGCTGGGGATTAAAGACAGGGCTTTGTGCAAGCTAGGAAAGTACTCTACCAATTGAGTACATCTTTTTTTTTTCTTTTTGAGATAGGGTCTCATGTAGTCTAGGTTGGCCTCAAACTCACAGCTGGGGATGACCTTGAACTTCTGGTCCTCCAGTCTCCATTTTTAGACCGCTGGGATTACAGGCCTGTGTCACCATGCCTGGCTCTAAATTTCCACTGTTTTTTTTTTTTTTTTTTTTGAGACAGGGTTTTTTTGTAGCTTTTGAACCTGTCCTGGAACTCACTCTGTAGACCAGGCAGGCTGGCCTTGAACTCACAGAGATCCATGAGCCTCTGCCTCCGGAGTGCTGGGATTAAAGGTGTGCGCCACCACCGCCTGGCTAATTTCCACCATCTTAATACCTCACAATGGGAACTAAGTTTCTATACATGAACCCTTGGAACTCACTAAAACACAGTGCAGGCCAGTAAACAGTTGGTGTGTTATCATAATTTAGTTTCTGGTCTTCACAAAGGGTGGGGAGGGAGAGCAGAGGGTCAAGCTGTGAAGGA